GCTTTTCAGGAGAGGATTTCGAAGTATCCGCTAAAAAATTTAAATGATTTTCGTTATTAATAATAACTGATAAAACAAGAACCACGAAACCTAGCGTATCGCTAAGAAAAGCATTTAAGGATTAAAACGGTTGATTCATTCTGCCGAAAAAAGAAGGAAAAATGGATACTACTGAAGAAAGTGTCGTTTTATTTGCTGGATGCATGGACTAACCTGCAGTAGGCTGGGTAGCACGAAAAAGAGTCGCTAAAACTTAAAGCAGAATATGAAGGAAGGGGTAGGGTAGTAAATAATTACTGGTTAAACTGAGTGTCATGCGAGACAAAAATAAATGAAAAACAAAGTGGCGTATTAATACCAAGCTTACAAACGAAATTGTGAAGACACCCAGCATAAAAATACCTATTATACTATAAATTAATTTAAAAAATAGGTAAAAGCAAGGTCGCCCTAACTAAAATAGATTTTTGGAATTTTCAATTTAAAAAAGTTTGGCGTAAAAAAACAACCAGATGGCCTTATCCTGATATAGCGTAAAAGTATTATTAATTCCAGATAATCATGAGGGATAAGCCACCAAGAATGAAATAAGCCTAGTGAAAGTGGAGTTTACTATAGGTTAACTAATTAAAACTTAATGATCAATATAAAGTAAATTTATGGCCTAAATTTGGGTGGGGATCATATAGTAGATAAAGATATTCAGAAATATTGACTGATACTATTGGCCTAGCTTGAAATTCATATCTGCCCTGTGACCAAAGGGTATTCGTGGCAATGTGGCATTGTGTTTAACGTATCAAGATGATAAGCTGCCCTGTCATGTTTCGAGTCCCGTTGGGGGTGTTTACAAGGCCTAGGTGAGGTTGAAACTACACCACCCTTGATGAGAACACCCTTTAGGAAAGCAAGGCTCCTTGAAATTTTAATGAAAACATAAGGTCTACTTATATCATCGTAGGAAAATTCAAATACCAGTAGCTTTATCATCCTAAATGGAATAGGTTAAATACACCTTATACCATCCCCTATTACCTAGCGAAAGAAATAAACCTGAGAAATTATTGGAATAAAAAAGTAATAAATCACACCGAAATAGCAAATAAGTAATAAAAAATGGGAGCTTTTAAATTTTCCAAAAAATTATTCAAAAGGATTTTAAATGAGCAAAATAAAAATCTTAATCCTACCAAAACAGTTATACATAGACATAATAACCTCCTCCACTCCACATAAATATACAAGCATCTTAGCATCTCAGCCTTTAGTCTTCATTTCCTATAATACCAAAACGTCTACATAATTATTCCTTCGGGAAATGTCTAACAGCATGCCTACTAAAACTACAGTGAGTGCAAAACGAAACTTCATCATTTTTATCATGTATAACTACTATAATTACTCAGAATAGGCAGAATAAGCAGTATACATACAAACATACATCGGACTCTACGAAACCTTCGCTTCGCTTCTAGACGTGATTTAGCCGTTGTAGAGTCGACTGATGCTTCAGTCTTCATGAGGCTTGAGCTGGAAAAGTATGTTAAAGCGTCATCTGGAGTTCGAGTGCCATCCCATCCACCTAGCAGAATACTTGCTCGTTCCGTAGAATCAAGGCCAATTAGTGGATTTTGAGAAAAATTCTCCGCGCTGACAGGCTGATTGATTGGCTTGGTCAATAGGGCTGAGACACGTGAGATTGGGGTACCCAAGTCGTACGAAACATTTCCGTTAGGTTGTCCAGCTGCCCGGCCACCATCCTTGTGAAGGGTCGAAGTCGGCACAGATCGAGATCGTGTTAGCTGGTTTCGATTATCGTTAGAATAAAATTTTACAGACGGCAATGTAGCGGGAAGATGTGGCGATGGCGGAGGCGACATAAGGCAAGCAGGCCCATTCAGATCAATCAAGTTGACCAGAGAAAATGGCTCTTTCTGTCCGGGGAGGAGATGAGCAGATAAAGGCGGGACCTTTTTCATATTGCTCTGATTGTCCGAATCAGTTTCAGGAGTCAGGTTAAGGAGAGAACAATCGGGGGAAAGAGAACTCGAAGTGTGCACTATGGCTTCAGCATGTGTGTGGCTAGAGAAACGATCAGAAGATCTTAGCTTTTCCTCGAATGTTTCATGTAATTTCAGGGACAAATCTGGCGATGCATCTGTTACTGCTGTTGTAAATGCGTCTGTCACTGTAACCTTAACTGCCGAAGGTTGAGTAGCTTGGCCCAGGAAATACGTCTCTTTATGATCAAATGGGTTACCAAACAATGGGTTTGCGGTACTCGATATGCTGTAATCCAGAGGTTTACCTATGCTCAGATCTATTTCAGAGGGTATTTCAAAGCTTGCAAGAGAAATTTGCGATCGATCAAATCCTCGGCGATATTCAATACTATCGTCCAGAGTATGGGGAGGCGAAACGATACGGTGACTAGGCTCGCAGGGGCGAAAAGGACTATCTAGGGTTGAGTCACTGCTCATATCTTCAATTATTAATGCTATGCGTGTATACATAAGGTAGATTGAAGATTTTTTTAAATCAAGACAAAAAAGGGGGATAACATATAGCAAAGGTAAAAATAGCATGCAAGACAAGGCAATAAAACGCAGTAAGACAACAGATTTTGGGATTTAAGGTGGAGAGGAATTGAGAGAAATGAGAAAGGAAAAATATTGCATTTAATATGGCCCAATAAAAAGCAACAAAAACCCTCACACACTTGATCACTCAAAAATATATATAATTATTATGCAAATATTACTTATATATCCTAAATAACAAGGGTTACTGCTATCAAAAGCAGATAACTGATATCTTGGCATACCAAGTTTCCTAATGTTATAGTAATGTCTAATTAATTATACAGTTTTAAAATCCACATATAGGTGTAAAAGGAGATAGTAAAACGTGGCATAGGGCGTTTTGCTTTATCAGAAAGAGCATAATAGGAATGAAATCGTAAAATGGATTGAGATTTTCACATATCTGAAATGGCAAAATATATCTTGCGCAAATAACGAAGAAAAGAAAAGGAGTGGACAATAAAAATCAGAAAGAAATAGACAAAATTATATATTTTCATTCAAATCGCGGAAACTTTGAAACGGGCCGAAAATAGAAACTCTACTACAAAAGAAACCACTGGACCTAAATCTGAATGTAAATTAAATAAATGAAAATCACTATAAACTCTAGGCAGAGAACGTTAAAAAAAGGCGTATTACTCGAAAAGAATCGAGAAAAATAAGATAAATGAAGGCAATAAAATAGATGAAGAACCGTTTTAATAGTAAAATTGCAGCTGAATAAATAAAAAGATTGCAAATATAGCATTAAATTCTATTTGAAAAAAATATGATTGAGATCGAGGGACAAGATGGTGAACTGTAAGGATCGTTCAACGAAATATAAAGTTCATACGATAAAAGGAATAGGAGAAGAGCAAACAACGGCATGCAAAACGATAAGTAGATATTAAGGTGTCATAATAATGCTGTTACAAATAGTTAACTGAGTCTAGGTATGTAAGCAGAACTGAAAAAAACATTTTTGTAAAGAGATAAAATCACTACACAGCAAAAATGCAAGCGAATCAGCTATGGATATTTGTAAGACCAAAAACAAGATTCGATTGTGCGGTAGCAGTCTCCTTTCGGTTTATAGAAGTGGTCTTAAATAGTTTTTGCCACTTGGTTGTGTAGTTAAGGAGACACATCTATTGAAAGTTGGTCAATAAATATAATTTACTTCTTAATTTTGAGAAGCTGTAATTGGTGCTGAAAATAGTAAGACTGAGTGACGTTGCCGACTACGACTCATGGCAATGTGACCGAATGGTTAACGTGTCAAGCTCACATGCTGCACTGTCACGGTTCGAATCCCGCTAGAAGTGCTGATAAGACCTATGCGATGTCGAAACTACGGTCCACTCTGGATGAGAACACTTTTGGGGAAGCAAGACAATGTGAAATCCAGTGGAAGCGTCAGCTCTACTTATGGGAAAATTCTATTACCAGTCTTTCATCACCTTAAACGAAATAGGGTAAATACATCTCATGTAACTGATTTACTGGTAGTCTCGAAAATCTACTTAGATACGAAAATTAATATGATTAGATATTTTAATTCTCAAGAAATTACTTATTGTATATATTATAAGTAATCTGAAATTTGGCAACAATAAAAGCCAGAGTCAATGAATAGAATAAAAGATAAAATAAAGAACTTTTCAATCGAAGGTATGAAGACCAAGATGGTGTGGCCTTTTGTGTGGTCGCAGTGTCCTTTCGTC